CAGCATGAGCCATTCTCAAGGCAAAATGTTCAATAGTGTCCCCCCTTTTTGTCTTTCTGGGAACCACTCTGCAAGACCTGAATGAGGGTCCCTGCTTTACAAAGCATGTGAACATCTCCAACAAGGAAGTAATGCCATAGTTCATGCTTAGCCAGTTTCACTAGGGATTTTGCGTTTTCTAAATTGCTGGGGAAATCCAGCCCCACAATACCTACTTGTACATGACAGGTTTATCACATGTGTTAACATGAAAGACTAGTGTAAACCCATCTGTCAACATGTAAAACCCTGGCCAGATTTGTCAACATCTGGGGCCAGAAACATCTCTTAAATGCTGTTTTAGAATTGTATCACAATAACAAATGTAGTGATAATGAAATGCAGAGTCTGGTACCATCCAAAATTCAGCAGCTGTGGTATTTGCCACGGAGCTGAACTCTTTTTAAGCTGCTGGTGCTAGAAGGTGTTTCTTGTCGTGAAGCAAAGAAATTCAACAGAGAGAGGACGTAGAAGAGGAGATTATTGCTCTGTGTACGACCCTGGCTTAAACTGCTCATTAACCACCCCTAACTGCAGCTCTCCCTCCCTGTGCTACTCCATCTGTAATACAACTTCAGCTGTGTTTTTCAGTACCAAGGGGAAGCCAAGGTGGTGGCTGCCATGACTGCTGGTGGCATCACAGGGAACACAGTTGCCTCCTCCTCCTCCTCCAGTCACTGCAGACCCAAGGACACAGCTCTGTATGCAGGTTTTGTGATGCTCTGGAACTACAAACCAGTTTTCAAGCCATGGGTGACTAACTCCTGTGATGACCCTTCAGCACCAGTTAGAAGAGCTCTTTTCTGAAAGGTTTGAAGGCATCCACTATTTAATCATCTGAGCTTTCCACTTCTCCCATCTAATTTTCTCTCCAATTAATCTGATGTGAGGAATTTCAGCTGTTCATTGAGGAGTCTGGAAGACCTGGACCAAATAGCCATTTCTTTCCACCCTGCCCATCAGTCTCCAGCCTCCCTGCACAGCACCTCAGGCCAGAGCCTAGGCCAGTCTCAAGGCTGCTTGCTCACATTTCACTTTCACAATAAAACTCACATCCAGATCACTGCTCAGGAAAACTACATCCTCCACCAGGGCAAGCCCTGCCCCAGGCTACCTTGCCCAGCCCCATTTGGGTCTCCAGAGAGGAACCACCTCCTGTGCCTGGCCAGGCTCCTGTCTCCCAGCTGGCACTGACAGCATGCACGAGCTGCATCCAAGCCCGTCCCATGCAGACCTCCCAGGGTTCATCTTCCGGAATCTTCCAAAAATCATCTTCTGGAATTGTGGGGCTGCGGGGAGAGGGAAGAAAAGAGAGACACAAGCCCCTTGAGCTGCAAAGAGCAGCTTGCTACCCTTGGTACCTTTCTTTGCCTCAGAAAGAAGAGGTAAATTTAAGGACCCCACAGTCAAGAAGTTGTTTTGGCGAGTTTGAAAATTCATTTTTATGCTTATCTCATGCAAAACTGAAAACAACACTGGCCACACTTGCAACCTACTAAGTAGAAAAACATGTTGAGTAATAGCCAGTGCAACTGTAGGGAAATTGCTGCACAAAAAAAATCTTTATCAGAAACCATCCTTAGGAAAAACAGATGAACACACATACTTCCACAACAAAGCCAAACTCCTGCAATCTCCATGAAGGCTTGTGCAGCATCACACCCACAGATCCCCACCAGCTCATTATTGCCCCTTATCTGGAGATGATAATTTCTGTAGGTCAGCTTCCAAAACAGCCGGTGTGAGCTTTCCCTAACCTGCTCCAGGGCAAACTCCACCAACAGCTGAGACTCCCTGCAGTGACAGGCGAAGCTGGACAGGCAGGAGGCTGCTGCTTCTCTATAGATGTTCATATAGCTTTACATGTACTATCACTATTTTGGATTCTCCCTCTGATCCTAAATCAAGGAATCGGGAGGAATAAGGAATAGTGTTCTAAAATTGGATGGTCCCATGTCTGAGCTGACTGTATGGAAGACAAACCCAGAGACTTCAATACTCCACAGAATCAGGTCCTAAATCTTTGATCCAGTCTTGAGTCCATTTGAAAGTGATGAAACAGCTCTGAGGATGGAGTTGTGGCTCTAGTATTGGAGAAATGCTATGTTGAGTGTGCTATTTTGCCACCTTCTACAGCTACAGCAGGGCTAGCTCTTTATTTCAGGCCCCAGCATTCTCCTGGCTGGTTGTCAGCATGCCCAGTAAAAATCCCTCCAAACTGCTAGTGCATTTCAAAAAAATTGGTCCAATTAGCAAAAGCTTTACAACTGCAGCTGAAATTGTGGGGAAGGATCATACCAGCAACCAAGCAGGCAGATCGGAGGAGTTCAAAGCTTTGAATAGGTGGTGAGGAGCAGGTGGGAAGAAGTAGCGGTGTCAGCTGGAAGAGAAATGTAATCAGCCCCTTAGAGGGGCTGCAGGAGCAGCCCCCAGCCTCATGTTAGCATTTCATTTATGGCATTGCTTTCCTGTTCATAACTCTCACAACTGTGTATTGCAATTTTTCTTCTCCCCCTTCCCCCCTCTCCCCACCCCAGCATTATGGTGATGGTTTGGAAAGGGGTAACTTGGCACTAGTACTTTAAAAAGCAGATACAGATGACATCCTAAATGTATCTTTTATGAGTTTGGAATGATTCCTTTGAATTAAGCTCAGAGTGTGTGACAGCTTCTGGTAGTGCCGCCAATAAGGAAATAAAACAAAAATCAAAAGGTTCTTGAGCATATGTAGTCTTAAAGAAGTGGACACATTGGTTTCCCTCATGCCACTACGAGCTGCTTACCAAGTGCTTCCCAAGGAAAGTGCTCCAATAATTTTCAATTGTCTCTTCACCACATATGCCCTTGAACCCCAATGCACTTCTGAATTCAAGGCTTATAAAAAATTAAATGCTCCAATAATTCTAAATTCTGTTTGTTCAGTGCTACTGGAGCCTGTCCATTCCTTCAGTTTGGGGATTTTTATTTTATTTGCAGGGGCGAGAAAGAGATCTTTTCTATTAGTGCTTCGAATTGGAAGTCGGTCAAGTAGCATCATAGTAGAATGATTCAGCAGCCTCTGAGCTGATTCACAGTGTATCATAAAACAGGATTAGGAAAATAACGATGCCTGGAGGAGAAAGAACCTACACAAAGAATCACGGCAGGAGAACAATACCAAAAAGGAGTAGAGGGAATAATCCTCACTTGGCTTCTAAGGAGCAGGTTGGATGGCCTAATAGATGTTTTTCAATGCCCTTCATTCCCTGCTGAGTCGCAGGGTTCAGCTGCCGGGATCCAGCCACCACAGCTTAATAAATGGTTCTGCATTGACTGAACACCATTAAGTGTTTCTGTGTGCACAACCACAGCCTGGTATCATTTATCTGAGACCATGGTCCCCCTCTGGCACAAGACTCAGATGCTATTTCACAGCAGGCAGGAGCTTATGCAGAACTAGTGGTGGAAGTTCATGACAGGAAGCAAAGGAAATAATCTTAGGCTGTGAGTCTTCCTGTTATAAACCAAAAAGTGGGTTTTTCTCAGTCTTACTCAAGAAGACACACACGCAATGCAGCACATTGAAGTAGCAGAGGTATCAAGCTAAGTGTATTCCCTAGCACTGTCCTGAACAGGAATTAAATTAACACGTATTTTATAATCTCCTGAATCAAAGCATCAGCAACCACTTATTGGCCAGTGCCAAGATGCAAAAGGAAAGCATCATTTAGTATCTATTCTCTGTGAACCTGAAGATCCTATTGACAACTTCTTGTAAATTAGGCCATACCTGTTTCAACTGCAGCCTTGGAGGACAGAGGAAGGCGGGGACTGTCTCAAGAGTTTTACTAGATCAGCAATGGTTGAATTACTTCTATGCAGAACATGAAATCACAGATTCACACAACCCAGGAAAATTAGACAGTTATATCACACTTCTGATAAAATAGCTATATCCAAAGTTTAGTAGAGAGACACAAAAACGGGGAGGAAAAAGAAAAATCTCCTATGGTCTTCCTTTGTAGACTGAAAAGATGATAAAATGCATCCTTGTTTAACTCTCTGCAGGATGCTTGGAATTTTATAGACACTGCCACAATGTGTCTCCCAGTGGGGAATAACTGAAGCATGAGATAAGAAATCAGCCATATCCTAACTTGCAGTGGCGAGTGCTGTAAAAGGAAATGCCCAATAAAGGCTTAATATATAGGAAGATGGCAACTAACTGCCTGGATTTCTGAAATAAGAAAATGTAAACCAATTCTCTAATCACATATAGTCAAAGAACACCATCAGCTGCTAAAATTCCTAGGAAAAAATCAGTACCGGAGAGATGGTAGCATACATATCTTCTTCAGTAGTGTTTGGGGAATATTTTAGCCTACAGAATTTAATTCCCTGTTATTACTTCTGAGCCTGGAGGTGAAAGTCATAAATCAGGACCATTCATAACATGCAATAATGGGGTGAAATACTCAAAAGGAGAGTTACATGATAAAATCCTTTGGGATTGTAACACTTCCAGTCCTTGGTGACAGCATTAAAAATTCTCCTGTCAGTAACATCTCTTCTTCCCCAATTCCTACATTGGGTTTTCATTCTTTTCTCCCAGCATCTCCAAATTTTGCTGTCATATGGCATTCCTTCCACTCTCCCTCCCTGCTGCCCTAAATATATGTTTAAAACCAAATCAGAGGAAAGCATCCCATACTTAAAAAGATGGACAGGTTTAAAATTACACTGTATTTACTTGAGGGCTTTTAATACCAGAGGAACTTTCCCAGGGAGTTTTGCTCTGATTTCAGGACCCCCATTGTTTTTATAAAGGGCTATTTGGTCCCATTTAGACGGTAGCTACGTTTTGAGTAATAAAGATTGCAATGCTATTAAAAAAAAAAAAAAAAAAAAAAAAAAAAAAAAAAGAACATTTTACCCTCCCATCTTCTGATTCAAAAAAAAAAAATATCCCAACCCATCATGTGTTAGAGCTTTGTTTTCTGAGTAACAAGACTAATCATGTTTCCTCTGCTTGGGGTCTCTCTCTTCTCTTCCTTTTCTTCTAGGTCCTCTGGATCCACACTGACATAGAAATATCCCATGATGGAGAAAACAATGCACACAGCAAAGAGGAGAACAGTGAACAAGACAAATTCAGCCCACTAGGAAAGAAAAAAGAACAGCAGGTCAGGAGAGCCCTGATGCTCAGTCCAGAGGATATCTCTACACCTCCAAGTGCTTTCTAAAGAACTGGGTGAAAATTACTTTTTAGTTTCCAAAACTGCTTACAAGAAAGAAACTTTCTTATCCTGTTTTTCTGGTAAACTCAAGTACACATAATTTAATTATGAATATGTGATATACCTTGAAACAAACCTGTTAGTTAGATTGGGCTAGTTTCATTAAATCTTTTCTTAAAAATCCATCCTGACTGGAACATACCTGTCTAGGCTTTTTGCCCACAAGATGCCTTTGGAAGAGGTAGTTTCATGTTAGCCAGCAACAATCCTGAGTTCACACCTTCATGGCACCAATCCAGAAGTCTGATAGCCTCAATTAAACAACCTGCATACCACAACCTCCCCATGCAAGCTGATCATCTCAAGGGTGACACAGGCAGCTGGCCCTGAGGGATTCCCAAGCTAGACACATGAGGAGGCTGACAGCCCACTGGACTACCTGGATGAAGGCAAGCTGCTTTTGGTAAGAAACTGAAATCTATGGCTGGCATCATGGCCAGGCTTCAGGCCCAAATGCAGCCTGCATGTTAGAGCTGAGCTACATCAATGTTATTACAGTGCATTGCAGTTATTGCATCAACGTAATTTATTACCACTGAGAGGCTTAGACTCTGGGCCATGGCTCCAGAGGGCAACTCTGCTGAGGGCAAAGCAGAGCCCTGTCTGGGACACCTCAGTGCAGTCTGCCATCACTCAGTTGCAGGAGCCTAGGGCTGTGCTGAAAAGCTGTGCCCACAGGACATGGACATCCAGAAGCCTGTTTAAAAGCATTACCTCTGCTTTAAGAGCCAAACCATACCTGTGCCATTGGTGCAGCTTGGGCAACAACAAGCACAAAGGTATTCCCAACAGCCACCGTGAGCAGCCAGCCTGCCTGCAGCACCGACTTCATGCTGGCTGGAGACTGAAAAGAGAAGGGCCTGGATCAGTGGGTATCACACTGTGCCCTTCCGCCCTGGTTCACTCTGTGATGTCCCGCTCAGTGTAGGTGTCACTGGGCTCAGTCTAGGAGATGAGAGAAATTTCCTCTGTGCAGAGCAGTTAATTTCTGTGGTTAATCTCAGCAGCTTCATACAAGGAACTTTCAAAACATGTCCTCCAGGAGGACACGTGAAGAAGGAAGAGATGCTGTTTTTGCGGAGCTGGATCTTGATCGTCCCCAACCTGCATCATCTGAAATTGTACAATCAAAAAGTCCAGGGAACCACACAACACCACCTGCAACTTGTAGTCTGGTGCCATATGGCTGTACTCCTTTGGAACTGGATCTTGATGTTAAACTTACTGCTGATGACAAAGTTTCTACATTTCATTACAGATTGTCCCACTGTTAATAAACATCTGCAATTTACTCCCAGGATAAATTTGAGTAGCTTCAGCTTTTTGATCTTGTAATGTCTCCATCCTCTCTTTCCTCTCTTCTCATAAACCTTCTCCCTAGACAACAATCAAATCATCCCTTGCACACTTGTTACCCCTTGCTCTCTTTTTTAGACTCATGTAGTCTTAGACCCCTTCACTCTCTCCATTTAAAGCAGATTCTAAGGCCCCATGCCACCCTATAATCCTTGAGATACCTTTGGCTTCTTATCACTGGAAAATACATACCACAAAATATTTGACTGGGAGAAAAACCTGATATTAAACTATTCAGAGCCTTCACATTAAACTTCTATCTGTGTTCTCAGGTTCACTAGAAAAGTCCTGAGTATAACTGAGAACAGGTATCCTTCAGAGTTATCATAGAATAGTTAGAGTTGGAATTAATTTACTTTGAGAGCACTCAGCAAGCTGTGTTATAAACCCACTTTTAGCTTAAGTGAGTCAGTGCCATTCCAAAGGACATATTACAAGTCAACAGCAGATGCAGGAATAAATCCTGAAGTCTAATTGTAAGCCCCTTATCTTTAAGTGGAATACCTGAGAATAGGAGAAGGCCAGACCTGTAATGGAGAACATCACCTCCCCAGCAGATATTAATAAGTACTGTGGTAACTGCCAAGCCATATGGACATTGTTGGCCTTTATGTCTTCTGACTTCCATGTCTTAACTGCACCTCCAGAAACCTAGCAGGAAAATAAATGCACACTGATTAGCTACTGAAATATCAGATCCTTCTTAGCCTAGACAGCAACAGCCAATTTACCAAGACAAAATTTTAAGCAAATATGGAAGCAAATCTCTGTCTTGGAAGTAAAACTATGGGTCTGACCCCTGCCATTTCCAAGCCTGTCAGGAATTGGATAACTCCTACTGCACAGCACAGAGGTGGCAGGATTGAAGCATTCCCACTTGTTCACGTGCCACAAGAGTTGCCTAAGCTATTGCAAACCAACAAGTCATCTTCTGTAGCGGGGTTGGGAGAAGTCTGTGTAGTACTTGTGCAGAGCCTGTGACCCGCAGCTGTCCCCAAGGCCAGAAGAGGATGAGAGGATAAACGCTCATGGCATCCATGTGGTCAGTGCTCCCATTTCATCAGCACTGTACAAATCCCCTATGATAACAGTGACACCCAAACAAATCCAGTTCAGGAATACCAAGAGCAGCAGAGACTGCCCTGTACCAGATGTATTCAGTTAGTTATTGTAGCTGTATTCCTAATTATTTTTGTTTGCTTTCCCAGATGTAATTAATACTGCCTCTGATGCACAGAGGCAGAGAGACCTGACTAGTAGCCAGAAAAACACTAGGCTGAAATGACTTCAGGCAGAAAACCCCACATGTAAGGAGAATACTTGGGAAAATACAAGGGATGTTTATGAGATGCACTTAATCACAATGCAGGGAGGCAAATCAAGATACTGTATTTTAGCAGGCTAAAAGGGGTGAGAGGAGAGCTGAGCATTGCTCTTAAGCCCATAAAGAAAAGTCACAAGCACCATACTATAACTGCTCACTGAGGAAGGCTGGGTAGAAGGCAGCATCTCTATGATTTAAGTATCACAGCCACATTAGCAGACTAATATATTGCATTCCTGGTTCTTCTATATAGCACTCCTGGCAGAGGAGCAGGGCTTGGTACAAATCACTGCAATAATTAAAAAAATATCTTGGCCTGGAACAAACTCACTCTCTACAGAAGGAAGAAACCACAGGCAGAGAGGTGGAAAAACAGAGGGTCAAAAAGATCAAAGGACTAGCACAGGGCCCAGAAGGGCTGAGTCACAGAGCTACCCCAGAGTAGCCATGGCTACAGCAGGGACTTTTGTATACGGGTCCACAAACTGGAATTCTTGTCCACAGTGATGTGGGACACATCTACGTCAACTGACCCTGACTCAGTTGCATTTACCAGAGGCTTTAGGAGAATATTATTAGTGTAACATTCTTAATGCAACTTCTTTTCTTAGTTTCTCATCTGGTGAAAGAGACTTGCAGCCGTGGAGGAAGGGTCTGGCCAACATCACTTTGAGTGTGTATGTGGTTTACGGACATAAATCTCTGCACTCACAGATGGCAGCATCTGCCTCTTCCCTCCAGGACTGTGCATCCCACTCCAGCTACTGAAGTTTAAAAAAAAAACCACCAGGTGCTTTGCAGCTCTATTTTTCCCCCTGTGTATTTGGACTCCGCAGACATGAACAGGTCCCACTAATTGCCCAACAGGGAGATGTTACTGCCAGGGAGTAGCTGACAGCAGTTTGCTCTGCTCATCACAACACAGTACTCAAAGTCTCAGAGGGCAGCTTAGCAGTATGTCCTGTCAGACCTGGTTTGTCTGTGTGACTATGCAGTGGAAAGGTTAAAATGGAAACTAAGCTGATCACGTTCATCTCTGTGGCTCTTGCCAGCTGGACCAGGATTGGAGCAGCGAGCCTAAGAGGCTGGCAAGCTTGGAAAGGAATCCACCCTCTCTGCAGTGCTCATGCCCCGTTAGGGCTAGGTTGTTCAGAAAACCATTGCCTTGACTTTACCCTAGGCTCCAAATGAGCTGTACAGACAGTGAGATGAGGAAAAAAAGATGCACAATCTCACCAACCATCTTCTTCAACACTTTATCCCTCTTCCCCCTCCAGGCATAATCCACAAGCCTTGGAAGGCCCACCTTTAGATCAGTAAATGTGAGGATATATCAAACTGTTTCTGCAGAATTTTTCAGGTGTGAGTTACCATCAGGTATAGTATTTTAAAGACCACAAGCAGAGTCAGCTCTTGGTAGACTGTCATAGCTCTTTGCAGTGTGCTACATCAGTGTTAACTGAATAAGGATGGATGGCATAAGACCAGCACAAACCACAGATCACATGATTTTCCATGGACAATTTCTACGAAGGAACGGATCTTACTTCTGATTAATCTATCTGACAAGATCACAGTGTAAGGTGGGATGAGTACCCATCCACCTTGCTTATGTAGGTGTCGAAACCTTTCACTAGCCCTTGTATAGTGGACTGCCTTCAGATGCCTACTGCCCAGGTCTTGCAGGGTAGAGAAAGCAAGTGAGAGTCACCAACATAAGAACAAAAGCAGCTTGTTATCATCACAGGGACACTTACATTAGTTATCACAATGGTGTATGACGCGCCGAAGTCAAGCAGCCCTAGCTCCAGGGTAAACTCTCCCATTTCAGTTATGCATTTTCCATTGTTATATCTAGATAAAAGGATGAAGTACAGCATTTTCCAGTTAGTCTCACTGACAAAGAGCATCAAACATGCCCATACAATGGAGCAGGGAGGATATACGATGCAAAGCTGCAGTAATGTTTATGTCAGACAATCACTAGAATTCTTGTCATTTTTCCTTCCAGAAACACTTAGGCACTAACTGGAGTTCACCTAGTGACATGAGTTATTGCTAGCAGTTTTAAATGGTTTCTGCTTCTTGGCACTGATTTTTTTTGCCCCTCAGGTTTGTATTCCTTCCAAACTTTCCTCCACTCCTTCAAGAACTGTGGGCCAGACAGGTTAGCCAGGCTCAAGCAGCCTTCGGGAAATCAGAGATATGCACCCACAAGCCACTTTGTTTCCTTTCAATAGAGCAAATTAGCCTTCAGATTTGTTCTTCTGGTTTTGGATGTGTGAGATGGCACTGACGCTCAGCAACACTGCCACAATAGCTGCTTCATCCTACTAAATTGCAGCAATAAATATTTTGGATGGAACTGATGCAGAGAAAAGCCATGAAGCTTGTTTTGAAACATTGCAAACGCCAGAAATATCCTGCAAGAGCCAACTCCAAAGCTGCCAAACCAAGGCCATATGGAGCCACTGTCTAACAAGCCTAGCCTGCAAAGCCATGTAATGTTCCTTGATGTTACCAGCCCACATACCAACACTTTGTAGCACAGAATATGAATTGGCGTTTCCCTGAGAATACCATAACAGTTGGGCCTGTGAGAATATCAAAATACAGGAGGCATCGAATGGCAGAGGGAACTTTACCATGTCCACCTTATTCGGCTGACAAATGCACAGGAATGGCCAGCCTCTTCCCTCCAGCCCCTCCCCCCCCCCCCCCCCCAAAAGCTTCTGCACCCATAGGAGTTGTCTGGAGCTGCACAGAGCTGGTAATTCTGTATTTTACAAACATCTGCCCCCGCAGGCAAATGCCAAGAAAATAGCAATGAAGGTTTTGTTATTCACCTGAAAAAGCCCCACTGTATCCATGGAAGGGCCTCAGGTAGGACCTTCAGCTCAGCAAAGGAAACTTACCTGTCCCTCTCTAACAGCGAGTACTCAGAAGCACTGTAGTTTCTCTGAACAGCAACGAACCGTTTGCTGTCAATGGTGAGGTTGACATCTTGGTTCAAGCCATTAATGAATCTGCAAAGAAAGCGTATTTCATTGAGTTGTCAGACAGGGCAGGAGAAGCATATCAGACACTTCAGAAGTGCACTCTCTCTCCCAAAGCATTCTGTAATTCCGTAAGGTTATGACAACCTCTCCAGTCTGATTTGCTGCCCAGTTTTTCCAATATAAGATTAATTTTCTTTGCTGTGTAATTTTACCCTCTTACTCTGTCCTGTGAAAAGGACCCTCACATTATGAGGGTTAGGACTTCCAGGCAATCTCTTCTCAGAGACCTTCAAAGATTGAAGTGTGTCTAGAGGAGGCCAAGATGATCAGCAGGCTGGAGCACCTCTCCTTTGAAGTCAGGCTGAAAGAGTTGAGTTTGTTCAGCCTGGAGAGGAGAACGCTCCAGCAAGATCTTAGAGCAGCCTTCCAGTGCCTAAAGGGGGCCTACAGAAAGCTGAAGAAGGACTTTTTACAGGGGCATGGAGTGACAGGATAAGGGGAATGGCTTTAAACTGAAAGAGGGGAGATTTAGATTAGGAAGAAGTTCTTTACTGTGAGGGTGCTGAGACACTAGCACAGGTCGTGGAAATGCTCAAGGGGAGGTTGGATGGGGCTTGAGCAACCTGATCTAGCAGAAGGTGTCCCTGCTCATGACAGAGGGGTTGGAACCAAATGATCTTTAAGGTCCTTTCCAACCCAATTATATGACAATTGCTCCGTGGCTGTTTGAGAGGACAGAGGCCCAGCCTACACCAGGAAACTATAAAGCTGTGCGTCCTGATGAGCGTGTGCATCATGCTGGTGTACTTTTCAAGAAGTTTCTACCAGAGGGAAAGACTTTTCTAGCAAAATAAGATGTCTGCATCAAAACCAAACCTTTCACAGCAATGTTCTCTTGGTTTCCAGTTCTTAAAATGGGGCCAAAATCCCTGAAGATAATAAAGCTTAACAAAAGTACCTTTTTAGTGGAAAAATAGTTTCTTCTTAGTGAAACTTCTTCACAAATTGTTGAAGGGAAAGTTTTGAGATTTTGTCAAAAATGTTCACAGGAAAATATAAAACATTCCCGACTGCAGGTATCAATCAACTCTCAAAGGTGATGTTTAGCCAGTAGAAGCCTTCGCAAGCACAGGGCTATGAAAAGATACTGCTTTCATGCTCTATCAATTCAGGCTTTCAGATAAGGCAGCTGGACATTGGTTTATACTGTCTGAAGTTTTTGAGGTTTTGTTTATTTGCTTTAAATTGGAGCTGGCCCAAATCCACCAGAAATCCAGCTGGAATCACCTTTTTTTTTTTCTTCATTGCAAACATTTTTGCAAATCTGCTGCTTCTGCATCTCAGCAGCCTCACACAGGTCTGGTGATGTGGTAACTGTGACCTCAGTGAGATGACAGCACAGGTCTGTTCATGGACTAGCTCAGATTAGGAAAGTAGACTAGCTGCTTAAGCAGATCCCAATGCCCAGCTGAATTGTTTATAAGGACGTAAATTGTTTACAAATTTAGTAGGCATTTGTGCATGAGGTTGGGTGACATAAGTGAATGTCATGAGTCGGCCAGTTTGCAGAGGACAAATGGCAATGACTACTTTCCAGATTGCTGCTTCTTTTTCTTTCCCAAAGGGTAGAACACAGCGAGATGAGTTTACCACTCTTCCAAGGGACATCTTTTCTGTTGGCATCTCAGCTCAGACTATCCTAGGCAGTAAGCAGCAATAATGCTCAGCTCTGCATGGCAACTGTGGGAGGTGACACGCTGTTAAGCCTCTGCAGCTGACACCTTAGTCTAGTCCGCACTTGAGAAGAGTAGACTAGACTCCAATCTGAGAACATCTGGGTTATGTTACATATAGTCTGATAGACAAAAGCAGTTTCCTTCATCCCACCACCTCCAAATTCTCAAAAAAAAGCCATTCCTACCTAACAGCTGCCAAACCATTTTCTGGCTTTGCTTCCAAGTCTGTAATCTAAAGAGCGAAAGAAAGAAAATCAAACAAATTCATTACTGCTGCCTTGTAACAGTGTATAGCAGAAAATACTAGTGTCTATGGAGTTACACAAGTCTTGCAAAACCCATGGAAATTGACTGGCCTCTCACATAAGCTTTACATCAGGCCACAGAAGCCCTGGTACCATGAAGCCAACAGCAAAATTTCAGCTCCACCAAGGGCTTAAGATGAGATCATACCTTCTTTCCCTCATCTCCTGCATAACAAAGGCTGCAGAGTTTCAGCCAGTCACCCCTTCTACTGAGGCATGTAACACCCTCCAAAAAAGTATTTGTCTTGATCTGAAGATAGCAAGAGATCATTATCCACATTAGCTTCTTTCAATGATTAGTTAAAATTAAGCATAAGTACCTTACTCCTACAAAACCTGCAACTGCCTAACTTTCAGACCTTGATTCTCAGCATACTCATTGACTTCATAGAAGCCTATAGCCCAGAGGAACCACTAGGTTACTGCTCTGTTCACCATGTATCACTCATTTTCCCTGACCCTCAATACTCAAGACATAAAACTGTTGTATGGTGCAGGCACAGAGCAGGAGAAACCAAGATGCACTGAGCTTGTTTGCACTCATAGTCTCTGCAGACACACCCCTGAAACAGCCACCTGGTTGGGCACACTGGGGACTGAGAGTGCCTCTCATGGAGATCACAGCTCAATAGTTAACATGATCTATGCTCATTTGAGGAGAGCCTATTTGGTATACAGCACTGAAAATAAAAGGACAGCAAAGACAGCCATGCCTTGAAGATTTAAGGTCACAGAAAAAGAATACAGACCAAGGTTCTTGGTTGGTAGAAATCCACAGCTGTGCCATGTCCACTTAAACTGGCAGGGCAATTTCAATTTGTGCTGCCCGCAGATGAAACCCAGGCAAGCCAAAAGGGACTGAATCTGCCTTCAGAAACTGACTTTCACTCAAAATTTCCCAGCCCTTTCTCTTCACTCTCTTCCTGATGTTAAACCCTGGGCTTCTGAGACCAAGGATCCAGAATTTCAGTGTACCTATAAATGTCTATTGTACTTCAGTGTGATATGCTGACCCACAGATAATTTATGCCCTAAATAATAAATAGACACAGTGAAAAATAAATGTCAAAGCAATAAATAGTAAACATAATCATTTTCTTCCATGGGAGACACATGGGGATTAAAACTCTAGTTTGTTGCAGAGAGGCCAGCCAAATTATTATTCGATGATCCCCAGAGCTCTCAAATTCATTTCCTGCTTACTCAACAGCCCATAAACGAAAAGTAAACAATTTCAGATTAGATCCTTCCCGGAAAGCACCCCTCTCTGAGTGAGAAGGCCAAACCCAGCAGCAAGGAAGGATGGAGTGGGCCATGGCTACTCCAGGGAAGCACTGCAACACAGCAGTGATGCTGGCATTGCATTTGTTGCATTGCAATGCTGGAAAAGTGAGTATCATTTACCATACTGTCTTACACACTTCCTTTATCTACAGCTGAGAATGACAGGTCAAGTGCATCACCTGACAGCACAGCCGTTCCCCAGTGCATAGCAGCCTGCCTGTGCCAGGGTGGGCATTAATTTAAGCACAGGCTAGATAGCTAGGGCAGCATAGATATGCACTGAAGCTCAGAGATTGCTTTGCTCCAGACTGTCCCAGGCTTTCACTTCCTAAGGACTGTATGAAAATCACTGTATGAGTATCGATTTCTTAAGCTAACAGCATACAGTCATTAGGGTCACAGGAAAACTTAACATTCTGCAATAATCAGCTCCAGGCTCTAAACAATAAAGCAGCAAAAAAATCCCAATGTTAGGAAAAAATAAATCCTTAAAACTCCTCATTTTAAAAAACGGTTACGTGATTTCTACTATACAATATTGAATGTTTGGTGTGGCAACCCTGCAAGGCTGACGAACTGCAAAGAGAATTGATATTTTAGCATTAGGATAGATTCTGTTGGCATTTACACACCTGCCACATGTGCAGTAACACCATTCATTTCAAGAGATCCTCTTAGGATACAGCTACATGTAAAAGATATGTGAATCTGGCCCTATACGCTCCATATGCCTCTCTGATTGTTGCAGCAATACACAGAAGTCCGAACACAGCCAGCGCTGCTGCAGAGCTTGAAATGAGCTTAATCATTTATTCTGTTCAGCAAAACAAGTGGGCCTTCTGTGCATTTTCACTAGACACTTGCAATAACTAAACCTGGAATCATTCCTCTGATGCTGTTATTCCAGCCCAACCCCAGAGCCTCTTTAACATCTTTGCTTTAAAGAACCATCTTCAGGGGAAAATCTTCAGCTCCGTTTCCTCAGCTTTCTCAAGCTCTGCTGCCTAGCAGGCATGACTTTGCTCTGCCACTGCAGCATACACTGGATTAAAGTGTGCCCAGAAACTCTCAGATGCCATAACGCCTCTATTAATCAACCAGCAGAAATGTGTACAGTTCCAGTGCTGCTAGCTAAGAAGTCAGGTTTAGAGCATCTGAGAGCAATCAGAGAGACACTGCAACTAAGCAAATGAATTAATGAGCCTATTACCCCATTGTATCATCACAGTCACTGAATTAATACTGTATTTACACTTCACTCCCACACTCACTAAGCGGCTTGATAGGTTTCCGTCTGCCTCAAAAACAATTAAGCTATATACTGATTTTTCCTTCACGGTGTAGTTAAAAGGAAGAGACAATCCTTGATACTGCAGGGTGAAGCGAAGGCTCTGTTGCTCTCCATTCAGTATTAATTTTGAGTACTCAGCTGGGTTCTGTAGAGAAAACAAACTTGGTTACACTTTCTTCAGATAAGAAAGGATCTGACTCTTCCCACTAAGTGTAACCCTACCCTCTGTTCAAGGCACTTTCTAAAGAGAGGTCACAGCTGTCTTCTACAGCAAAAGACCTATGCTGATCTATAGGCTTTGAGCTGGTCAAGCCAGTGCTTGGAGTACCTTCTGTTGCCAATGATCTGGTGGCCAGCAGACTGCCCATCTGAGTCCCAAATTAGTCTGACCTGTAAAGTAATCTGGAAGCTGAAATAGGAAGCAACCCAGTGCCCGTGCCCAGTTAACTGCCTTCCCAATTCTTTCCTACTTTGGAGGTAAATACTTTTCAGATTCCCTCCAGATCCCAGCAGTAATGCCTGGTCTGAGCACTGGAAGATTTGAGTTGAATGTCTCTAACATGCTCATCTCAGTACAATTATCTTTTATTCCAAATTACTCATGAATGTAGTTAGCCATTTCCTCCTTTGCCATGGAAATATGTCTTCAGACTTTCCATTTATGTCTCATCAATGGAGATAATATGCTCCATTTTTAAATTTATTCCCATGGTGCTTCTAACGTGGTGAAGGAGAACAAGCTCTAGTACCCGTGGGCTTTATTAGAAAATGCCTGGAGAAAAGCCCACCCTTTCTTCAATGGTTCACAAGTCAGGCCCTCTAGCCCCACATATATGCTTACCTGAAAAGCCTCCACAGGCTGCTGAAATAGGTCCTTGTCTTGGATTGTCACTTGAACAGGGTTCTTTGCCAAATTCAGGACCCGAATTAAACTTTCTTCTGGGACAAGTCGAGGCATATCAGTTTCCTAATTAAAGTAAAAGGCTTTAAGTGCCATCTATATGCTTTATTAGCACCTTAATATCTCTTCATTTTTAGCCATAATAGTCTTCCTCTCCGTAATGACACTTTTCCATCTCTTCCTCATATAAAGTTCCACTGAGAGAAAACTGAACATAAATCTTATTTAGGGACATTTTCTTGTAGTAGCTCAATAGCCAACCTATCATTCCTCCCAAAAAACTGCTCTTCACACCGCTAAGCATATAGGCTACGCAACTGAGGGGTAGGTAGAACAATGTCACTGCTTTCATTATACAGCTCCCTAGTGCCTGTATTCAACCAACTGCAATATCAGAATGGAAAAAATTGTGCTTAGCTTTCAAAAGCAGTGACCAGAATAATTATTTCCCACTGCAGTCAGCGACTGGGAGAAGAATTAGGCCAGAAACTAAGCAGTTTTGAAAATCCCAGTCCAGCTCCATGTCTGTAATTGATACTTCTGCACCACTTGACACAATGCTCTCTAACAGCTGACTCTATAGATCTTATTCCGTGTTAACTGAGAATGGGAAGACAATGCCTCTAGCAGAGAGGTATCTCTTTCTGTCAGGAATCATTTCCTAGAAAGAGTACATCAATCAGTATCAGCCTTGTCCTACCTGCAGATCTAAAATGAATTATATTTAAAAAAAACTTCTTCACTTTATTTGCAAGTATCTGCCAGCAATACTTCAGAGCTATTCATTTTTTTCTATCTTATCCTATAATTTGGGTATTGCAGGCAGGGCAGCTTGAACTTAATTCAGTAGGGAGATGTAGTGGCAGAGAAGGCAAGGCGACACTGATTTCACTGATACCTACATGCTGCTCTGGACTAACAGGTCTCTTAATGTGATCCAAAAAATTCCATTACTGTGGCTTTTCATCTGTGCTACCGCAGCCAAGTGAAGGTGGGCCATCTTATCCCCCTTGCTAAAGTTCTTAGTGGACTTCAGGGTAAATTTCCATGCTCAGGGAGGGGTAACCTCTAATTCACCTTCCCTCTGCCCAGAGGAGTCATCCACAGCCAGAGCAGACTTTCAGTGCTTGTCCATAGTTGCTGGTGGTGGCAGCAAGAGCATTCCTTTGCCCATGTAAATAGATCAGAAAGAAGACCTGAACCCACAAAGTTTCATTTCAGCGAGTGGATTCACCCGAGCAACCAGCAGATGTTAGTCCAGGGCTGTGTGCCAGCCACTCTGACAAAACATTTTAAGTATACATGGAAGCTTTAAAAATTAATCCTATAGTAACTTTTGTGAGACAAAGGTTAGCCAGAGTCTGCACAGTGTTGGTCATGGGCCAGAAACAAACAGTACAAATCTGCAGGGGCTAGCACTGAATCTACAAAAAATTTACTGCCATCCTGTCTGGGGATGCCTGGCAGTCCCTGATGCCTGTGACTACAGAAGTGACTGCATTCACCTGCCTTACAGGAGAATCAATTTGGCTTGTAAAACAGCACACTCCTACCCTGAAGTAGGAAAGTGATTACATTAGAAAAGCAAAACCACCACACACACACCAAACCCCAAACAGTAAAGTATAGGCAAGCTACAGCAAGAAATAGGAGAGAGAACAGACTACCTTTTGGGAATTAATCACTAGCATTAACTAGATGTCTGCCAAGCATTTTGATGATGGAAATCTAGAATATAGACCAATACAGATGACCGGCACAGCAAAACTGCAAAGACTAGAAAGAGCAAAAAAGACACAAAGAGAGGGAAAAGTAGACAAAGTAAGAATTATCATTAGCAACTGGATCAGAACGCTCCATTGTAAAGAACACATTAAAAATTATGATCAAGGAACACAATGGTTAAAAGGGTTATCCAACAGGCATCAATAAAAACACCCCAGGGAAAGAAAGTATTTCAAAGAATCCCTTGTGCTATACTTACATTTATTTTGACTTCCACAATAGCTGCAAGTCCAAACGCCATCCCTGCAAGGATCATACCTGTTGCCATTTTCCTAATAGGTCTATGGAGCAAATGGAAGATGTGCCATTGAGAAAAAAATAGAGTAATTTTAAATATAAAATACTGTTTCTTAGAGCCAAAAATGTGCCAAAACCATGTAATAATCTGTCCAACAGGTGGCACTGGGGATGACATGCTGTTTAAAATTGCAATCATTTAACTTTAAACTATTCTATTTTTCTGTATGAGGCCAGCACTGAGGCCAATTAAAACTGGTGTGCCATTTAAGAAAGCTCTTTGCTTGCAAGTTTTGTATTATCTTGTTCCTAGCTCTTCTAGTGGGAATAGCTCATGGCATTATGTTAACCTGTGATGTTGGAAGGAGCACTAGAAATTATATATCTTCAAGTCCCTTTTGGGAAAGGCAAAAGAAAAGTAGCATGCTATTTAGCAGCAGGAGGAGAAAAATGCGTAGTTTGTGTCATCAATGTTTCTGACCATCTGTGGCATCATTCTGGGTTATTTCTTTTGCCAATACATTTACATTTCTAGAGAATAAAGAGCTTGCTTCTGAACTTGGAGCAAAACTAGTTCAACTTTACCAAAGTTACATGAGACAGTGATACAAAGCAGAATAAAATAGTTCCAGAATGGCATGTCCAAACTGAGTATTGAGTTGTTGAGATTTGAAACAAATGTGGTTCTATATTCAGCAGTCTCCACTCTTTGTAAAGGTCTGAATCCACATTCCACATTCATTGGGCTGTGAGAAACCCAGATTAGGAACCCACATTTTGTGTCCTCGTTTTGTCTACCCAGCATCTTAGTTTGGATTAGGAACATGATTTTTAAGCCCATCTCTTACTCATCTCCCCTTTCCATGCCGTGGTTCACATTGAGAACTGGTGCTGGAGCTGAAACTGCACTGGCAAAGTAAATCCATGAGTCCACGTAACATAAATTCACTGCTAAAGGCTATCAAGTCCACAGAAGCAGACTACAGATACTCTGAAGTAAAATCACCAAAAAATGCATAAAGTGGGTTTCAGAACCAACCTGGAGGTCTGCTCCTATTACACTGCGCTTCTTGCTAACATAGACAAGGGATAACACGCTTGGGCCATATGGAAATTCCCTTACCTACTCACCAGTTCAGATCCTAGCATGAAATCTATTTTCACAACACTACATGTACCCCACATGGGACAATGAATTTGGCCCTACAGGGACGGAACTATTTGGGGATGATATACGAGATAAAGTGAAGAACACAATGAGGGAGGGACTCCCTCAAGGAGGGACTGTTCGTATCTGCTCTCAGTGAAAATCTGTACAGAGCAGAATCCAACATCACAGAATTTTCCCCTCTGGAATTTCCAGGGCTTATGGAAGAGGGTGATGCTGCCTCTTGCAGCTGAAATAGAGGCAAGTATTGGGAAGGGTGAAAGGAAATCCATGTTTCTCCTCCTTAAAAGCTATTCCGCACACTTCCTGCAAAAGAAAAAGCTCTGAGGCATCTGCATTGTCCCAAAGTACTTACGTGAAATTAAATTTGCACATGTTTATCAGGGGGTAGAGCCCAAGGTCAAAAATTGGGATGAAGACAAGAATAAGAAGTGGATTTAAGAACTGCAATACAAAAGAATGGGATTTTAGTGACTAGAAAGCAACTTTCAGTAATTAAACTAATAAAGCACTGTCCTCCAGAAATAATTCCATTACAGAAAGAACATGAACAAACACTTTAAGACCTCCTTTGAAAATATAATCATAGTTTACACTTTGACAGCTTCTGCTATTTAGTTTTCACAAGCACGAATACATTTTGTTCATATCCTCCCCTCCAAGAGGTAAGCAAGCATCACTGGCACAGTTTCCCTGAAGACATAACTGAAGCATTATGTTTTTAAAGAGTACAAAACCCACTGACAATAGAAGCAGGTGACCTTCGGTGCTGTGGTGGGACCTCACAGCAAATTAGCAGTAATGGAAACATCTTGGGAATTCAGTAAAATCCCAGAGGAACAGGCACTTCTGTGTCAGATTGGCTATTTCTCACACTTTCATGCAGTCTGGTAATCCCCCAGGACCTAAGTTTCTCCTGAGAGGGGCAGAGCTTGTCTGCCAGCCAGCAGTGGCAGAGCAAGAAAAGAGAGAATGATGGAGAGCAAGCAGAGAAAAATGCTGTTTCAGTTTCAAAGGAAGATTTCAGGGAACAGAAGAGCTTTGATTTTCTCCAGAGCTGTTCAGTGTAAAAATTATAATCAACTGTGACAACATGGCACAATCTTGAAGCCTTCACATTTTCATCTGCCCCACATAAAGGGAGGAAGGAAACATATTTCAGGTACAACACTCATCCCAGCACAAGAGCATGTTAAAAGAAGACATAGTTTGTACCCTCCACATGCCAGCACTAGTTCAAGAAATATTATGTTGGTATGTCTCCCCACCTCTGCACTATTCTGCAAGATTCAGCCTCAAGGATGTTAGGACATCCTTGGAGTCTTCTGGATCCTGAGACTAAGCTTGTAAAACAGCTAGTGAGCAATAAAGGCAGAGTCCACACCAACTATTACCTTCAAAAGGAGCAGAGAAAGGCCACTGATCCCATGAGAAGAATAAAAATGAGAGAGAAAAAGAAAATACATTTCTAAGGGTTATTTCATACCCTATAGTATTTTACCTGCATTTGGTCAGGCTGAAGGACATATATTCCCTGAAACAAAAAGATATTCCAAGTGACTCATAAACACCATAACATAACAGTGCATACGGCAAACAAGCAACCAGTCCAGTAGAGACCCACAGCAGCACAGGCATTTTCCTCAAATGCTTTATGTTGGCTTTAGCAGCTAATATTGTCCTCCTGACACTCTTCTTCTAAGGACATGGTGTTTGATGAAAATCATTTTGCAGAAGGAAGCTTATACTCAGTCCTTGATATATAGCAGCTGGGAAACAGCCTATGATAGGTACTGAGACCTATCTTTCAGACTGGCTGTGCTGTGAACTAGGCGAGGGGGGATGAATAGGCATGTTAGTGTCCAGTCTGGGATTTGGGCTTAGACATTCCTCCCTCCCTGCTTCTGTAATGGGAAAAGCCCAAATCCTACAAGTGAGCGCTCTCAAGCTTCAGGACCCTCTAAGCTCTGTTGGCGATTCTGCTGAGCATCCTAAAAGGGTAACAAAAGACTATCCTTGAGACAGTAGGCTGCACCAAACACCTCTTTCCTCCCTCCATCTGCCAAGGCACATAATGGGCTTCGATCAACTGTGACTTCTTCGTTTAAGCCATAGATGTAGTCCTCAAGGCTATAAGCGGTGCCTCACCCTTGCGTCACTGCTCCCAGCCCCCTCAATTGGGCATGGTCAAGAGGGGTGGACAGAAGGGTCCCTGTCCCCACAAGGGATCAATGAGCTGTCTCCAGGCAGTGTCTGGTGTTTGTTTGAACTCCACACAATGCTTTTCATTTGAAACTAAGTTGAAGAGGGGAAAAAAAATAAGAAGAAAATAGCATTTTTCCAAGAAAACATGGGATCACCCCAATGTTGCAGTTAATTCTCACCTTCATGAGTTGGGACAGCCCACCAGTGGAGAGTGGATAAGACTGAATTACAAGCCAAAAAGGTGGTATAACAAAAGAGCCCCAAATATGTCCTTCTCCACAAGGGAGAGCTGATGAGTGGCACCTGGTGGTTCTTAGATCTGCTGCTAATGGATCACCAAATGAAAGTGCGCAAAATAGCAGAGAAAGTTTTTTAAATACACATCACAAAGACTGCATGAACTTTCACTGCTTTGTATTTCTGAGGTGGATAAACATTACCCAAGTTGTAGTCGTCTTCTTGTCTATTTGAATTAATTAAGCCTGATGACTACCACATGCTGAGAGCCCAATTTTTAACAGGAGAGACATAGAAGAGTTCAAATTTGGGACTTTAAGTCATTTTCAAAATGAAAAATGGGCATTTACAATCCTGAATTGTGATGAGAGCATCCACAGCTAAGATACAGATGGCCTGTTAAAACCTGTATGTCTGGAAATCAGCCTTGTATGGTGGCATGTTCAGGCAGACAGGTGATGCAAATTTATCTGCCATTGCACCCTGTACCATTTGTCATTCACATCTTTGAAGAACTTTATGGCTACTAATAAATCCTCATCACATCTCTACCCTATACAAAAGATAATGTATCACCAAGTAAGCCAGAGCAGAAATGCAAAACTACAATAGCTCTAGTTACACCTTACAAGGATTATGTGAACATTCCCCGACTTCTCTGTCTTCAATGAGGGTAGCAGGCTGTAAACCCTACCCACTCAAGGTCACAGAGCAACCAGTTGTCAGTAGGCAGGCACTCCTGACCTTGCCTGCTGCTGATGGCTCCCCAGCCAGCATGTGCTGTGTTGAATTGAACATGGCTGCACAGATCCTCTTGCTTCTAATCACTAGAAGTACAACTCACCCAGACTTATCAAGCAGATGCTCTTAGTATGCAAGACTCCAGTTAAAAAGCAAGAGCAGTGACGTTACTACTAGTCTTACCAGCCCCAGTGACAGTAAGTACTTACAAAATCAGCATTCATTTTTGTGGCTTGCAAAGTCCATCTGGATCCCTAAGGAGAGAACAGACCACTGTGAAGCCTTCAAGATGTCCTATAGGACTAGAAAACATGGAGACAGAGAAGACTACAGTGCTGGAGGTCTTATTTCCCACCTATTCCTTCTCTTCTCTCTAATACCTGCCAGTAGGCAGGGCACATTCTCCCTTCTCAGCCTCCTACACACCAGACACCTGGTCTAGACTGCAGAGGGATGGCCAGCAGTGATGGTGGATACTGTCTTATAGCAAGCCCCTGGACACCACCTAGGGGACATGGCACTCTGTGTCCCCAGGATGCTTTGGTCTTACCCTGGAAGGACAAGGGTGCAAACCCAGGCTGGTGGACAGACCTGTAACACGCTGTACTGTACCTGCTGATCAAACAGGGCCCAGAACATTGGCAGCGGTATGAAAAGGAAGAGAACTCGTGTCACCATTTTAACCTCCCCAATCAGCTGTTTCTGTAAAGGCAATGGGCAAAAAGGTAAGATGGGGGTGAAAAAAGCCAAAAGGGGATTCAAGCCACAAAACATGAGAACTCCTATTTCTTTCTGCATGGCAGTTATTCATTGCACTTACTCGTGAGAGTAGACATACTTGAATTTCTGCATTTCAGTGCAGCACCTAAACTGTTCAGTAAGGGTCAGGCGAGTACTGGTTTCCTGGGAAGGGACAGGACAACTGAGACTGGGTGCATGTGAGGAGTGGTGTGGCCAAGCCAATCTTACTGTCTCCCCTGTCTGCTTGCCTTCCCCCTCCAAACCTGTCATACAGATCATCGCTTACCGAGTATTTTTCTGACGCCCAGTCCAGCCAGTGATCTCTCTTTGGAATCTGACTGGAGCGGTTTTTCAGTCGGTTTTTAATAGCAAACTAGGAAGAAAACCAGGTGAGTAACTCATGGTGTGCCTACCCTTGTCATGCTGCCGACTCAAGGCTGTTCTCCCCATCCCCAAATGTAAGCAGTGCCAGAAAATTGCCCCCAAATTTTGTTTCATGCTTGATTTAAAACCTGCTACATGATAAAGCTTTAAATATAATTTCTTCGGTTCTCTTCCAAAAAGCACCTGCTGGGTTGACCACTGTGCTGGGGAAGAAATGCCTCATTATCCAAAGCAACATCAAAACCAGAACTCTCACTCCCTTCTTGTTTCGTAGATCTTTCTTTGCATATTACCAGTGCAGCCCATGCCTCATTCACTCCTAGACCAACTTTCAAGTTTGTTTCTCACTGGAGAAAGCAGTGCCACTGAAGCTGTAACTTGTTTGAACTGATAAACTTCAGTAAAATTATTCAGCTGAAAAAAATTGAGTTGTATATCTGATACTCTCCAAGTTTCTGAATTTTCCTTTCAGTTCAGCAGCATCTGCCAGTAGTGGCTCTACTGCCATCAACTGAACAGTTCATGTAGCTAAGGAAAAAAAATTGAAATGTTGAAAGAATAACTAGGACGTAAACATGTTTCTTCCTCCTTACAGCTCACCAGCAAGATACCCAGAACTAGCATAAAGAACTCCAAATGCCACCTCCCTTTGCACTTTTCTGACCTGCAACCTCAGAGTCATGCATGAAAAAGAGAAAATGGCACACACTTACACCGATGCATTTACACACTTCCAATAAGATGTTCCCTTGTGGTGGTGTTTTTCTGTACAGTCCACTTCCAGCAATGAACACAACTGAAAAATATTATAATCCAAATGGGAATTCACACGACTGAGGCTCAATCCTACACTGGCTTCTGGAAAGGATCCCCCCATCCCTGTATTCCACAGAAATTCTATGCCCTTGGGTATATATAGAACGCCTTTAATGCCTTCATATGGAAGAAAATGCAACATCCTACAAGAGGCAGTGTGATTCCTAGGAAGTCACCATAATTTTCTCATGATCTGCTCTGACACAACAGGCACCTCCACATCTGATTCACACTGGAAATCAAAGTTTTGAACATTCCCTCCATCTATGCTTTTTGTAGGCTAAATTTGAAATAAAATCCATATTGAATTGCAGTATCTAATGTTGGAATCACCCCTGACTCATTGCAACTGTGTGAGGATTAATCCAGATCCAAAGCAGGCTTTGTGTATTTGCATCTCACACACATTTCAATGGAAACAGCCACTAAGGTCACTGCATCACACACAGGTGTTAACAGAAATTACCTCTATTTATGGTTTCCATGAGGGGATATACAATTTAAGATATTGTTTTGTCTTGGTTTTCTCCTTCAAAGCACAAAGAATATTAGACCGAGGCTTCAAAATCCTGCCAGAGACAGGACTATCTGATTATATATCATATGTCCTGCTCTTTGAGAGCCTCTGAACACTTTGCAATTGGAAAGATATTGGCAGAGAGAAGCACGATAAAAGCTGAGGGTGAAATCCATATAACAAACCAACCTCAACTTTTTAAATTAACCCAATTATCTGGGTCAGCTCACAGCCAGTGGAGAAAAACAGACACCTCTGAACGAACACAGGAGGCCTGGGACACTGCAGGGAACCCACTGTTTCTCTTTTCTGACTATGAAGACCCCTCGCATCCAGCTTTGACTTGCAGAACTGCCAGAGACACCTCTGGAGTCAGTTTACGTGAGCTGCACTAAAAGACTTGTTCAAAATCACCCGTAGTTGGCAGTTGCACTACCTAGTTTTTAGCATCTCTCTGTGGGCTTGTTGGTGCCTCCAAAAGGTGATTCATTAGATTCGCTGAAATACCTTCTGGAGATGCTACTGACTGCTTTGGGAACCAAGGTTCCTGCATTAGTTTTGGCATTTGGAATTAAATAGTGTCAACCTTCCCTCATCTTTCAGAAACTGAAGCAGCCCAGAAAAATCTTCTCTCTAAGATTTCCATTCTGCCTCTAAATCTATCTTTGCTTTCCACCATGACAGGGAGAGGCCCAGTCAGGACTGAAATGGTATTTTCTCCAGTTCTGCATTCTGCTCACGTAATCAAATATATCACTTCCAAGAGCGTTTTAACATGTTACAAAGGAACACAGAGCTACTTTGCTGGGCAGGCTGTGGAATCTGGCAGCAGGACACTAGCTAAAAACACATTTCAATTGACGCCCCCACTGAAACTGCAATATTTACACATCCATTTTCCCCTGGGCAGCTACTACTCTGCTAGAAACATTCATCACACAGTGGTGCACAGAGAAGCCTATGCTGCCTTAAACCGATAGGAACAGGTCACAGGGGAAAAGAGAAGTTTCTCAGGCCCGTGACCATGCACTTTTCTGAAAATAATTGCTGCAGTGTTAGCTGTGGCCTGATGACATTTTTCCAGTTCTGATTCTTCTCTCTGATGGAAGTTTGAGGGGAAAGCAACATTCACATTCTCTGGGGGATGAACTTTTCAAATCACAGATGCTGTGGTGAAATCACACAATTGTTTGGTCTCTCAGTTAAGCTAACAAGCTGAATGAGAAGTCACCCCATGCTGTGTCAAAACCTCTCAAATGCAGTGTAATAAGGAGACTTGCTCCCCTCAGCAGCTTGCAACTGTGAAACTTAAGTTAATGGGGTGTCTTCTATATTGGTTACCAAGGACTAACAATAAGAACATGGAAATTGCTGAGTATTTCTTAAGGGTTGAAGAAGAAATCTTGACAAGTACATTAATGGGCCTAAGATGCAAGCTTTAGGAAGCAGGGTGATTGCGGCTGCCTTCTGACACTTGAACAATATGAGTTTTTTATTGCAACATAATAATACGTTGTCACTGTAATTGTGGGAATTACTTCAGTCAAGTGAAGCGAGACAGCTCAGAATAAAGTAACATCTCATTCAGCTCCTTCTACAATTTCTGTGGCACATGGATTCTGAAGCAGAAGTCTGAGCCATTAAAGATGGCCCCAAGATGCAAAGAGCCTGCAGGAAGTTTAGAAGTGGCATGGCTAAGCTTCTCTTCTATAAGACGGGAAACTCCAAGAACTGCTCAGAATGCAGTTCAAAGGCCAAGCCTGCTCACAGGTAAAGCTTCAAGCCATCAGAAGAATCATTTTTGTGACTTCTTTTGCTTTATAGAACAAGGCAACTGTATTGTGAAACATTGCCCAGACCACTCTCTCATCAGTATTATAATAAAGGACTGCAGTAAAACCATCCTCTGCCCACCACTGAACTAGTGATTTTTCTTGCTGTTCTGAACTGTGGAATTTCTGGATAATCTTGAAACCTTGAGTATCCATCCAGAGCTCGTGAATTTGTACATTTTCTCATCTATTCACGGACTCAAAAATGGTAACTCCTATTACAAGCTTTATTGTTTCCACTCACCAAGGGCCAACCCCATCAGTGCTGCTGGGACACCAAAAGCCAGTGCATAACAATCCTCTCCAAAACATTTCACATCCCCTGAAAGAAATCAGAAGTAAAAGCACCTCATTATTGTCAGACTTATGTCACTGGGCCCTTTGATATGTTTCCCCTCAACCATTCACTTTCCCTGGCTTTAAATCTTCTTTGCAGCTGCTTGACACTGTGAATTGAATCTCCTTGAAACAGTTGTCCTCCCTTGACAATGACAATTTGGAAGCAGGGTTAGTGTCTGCCAGCAAAAGCACCCGATAATGGTATATTGATGAGAATAGTAGAAGTGAGGAAGCAGACAAATAGGTAGGAACTGTAATTAGGAAAAAAAACCCACAACATTTAAATAACCTGAAGCCATTTTGTATTTGCCTAGATCTAAATAACCAGTACTGTGTTTCCACCTTATCGTGCCAGACGCATGAGTTATTGAGCTAAAAACTGGAATCTGATTTCATAGCAACAACATGGAAGCCAATACCCCTACTGTATAAGTGGAAGAATGGGATTGGTCTTAAAACTCCAGTTCCTTTTCTCACCACTTTCCCAGTCCCGCTAGAGGCAGCCTGCTCCAAATGTCAGGTCTTGCAATAACCCATCAGGAAAACAGCATGGCTTTGATTGATCTGAGCTATAGTTTCCTGAAAACCTGCATCTCTTCAACCAGGTAAGTTCTCATACCACATGGATTTAGAGGTCCAGTTGCAAACAGCAAGCCAGCAGAAGAGTCTGTGTTTGTATGCTAGTAATTTGTGACTACAAATTACTGCATTCTTACACAGAGTAATAACAAAATGGCTAAAACAAGCCAACATAGTTAACAGGAAGCCAGACCATAAAGCTTTCAGTTCCTGTTTGTTGTCCTTGGGCAGTCATGGTCAGCTGCATAGTTGTGTGCTTGCATAGCTTATTTACTTATTTTCAGCAAATTAGCTGGAATCCAACAAAGCTGGCAGTGAGGCATTATGAGCACACTGAACTTCTGACATGCAAAATGAGTTGGACTTCTCCACCTTAAAGTATATATTCCACATTTCTGCCAAATGTCTACAAACTGTATTTCTTGCTTTTCCAAGAAAAGCTTTCACACTTAGCAAAAATTTTACTCTTTTCACATCCTCTCCACCTCATTTCCATGTTGTAACTAGTTTATTGCTGGGCTATATTGGCACTGGTTTTGATCTTCAAAGAGGACTGGATTTTCATCTGCCCACTGACTACGTTGAGCAAAAGCTCCTTTCCAACAGAATGCTGACTTGGGGACCCCAATAAGAGAAAGACCAAGAGATAAGAAGACAGGCTGAGAAAGCTGGGGCTGTTCAGCCTGGAGAACAGAAGCTGCATGGACATCTCAGAGCAGCCTTCCAGTATCTGAAGGGGGCCTACAAGGATGCTGGAGAGGGACTCTTCATCAGGGACTGCAGTGACAGGACAAGGGGTAATGGGTTCAAATTTAAACAGGGGAAGTTCAGGTTAGATGTAAGGAAGAAGTTCTTTACTGTGACGGTGGTGAGGCACTGGAACAGGTTGCCCAAAGAAGTGGTAAATGCCTGGCAGTGTTCAAGGCCAGGCTGGACACAACCTTGGGCAACATGGTCTAGTGTGAGGCAGCCCTGCCCATGGCAAGGGGGTTGGAACTAGATGATCTTTAGGTCCTTTCCATTCTATGATACAACATTTGTCTTTGCCTGTACACATGGTGTAAATATGAGAAAAGCATGATTGCCCACAGCCTCATGAAATGATCAGCCTGTTAAAACAATTGATCTAAACAAAGAAAGCTTCCTGGATGCCACAGGATGAAATGAAAAAAATTATTACTGAATGTGAATGCTACCTTGTCCCTGTCCCTATCCCCATCACCTATGGCCTATTGCTCTACCTCTGTGTCTGTATTTAGAGTGTGCCAATCCCCTTGGCTTCTAGGCACTGCAATACAATGAAGTAAGTGCAGCAAGACTTGGGGACTAAAAAGCGTTGTGCAAGCTGGCTAGAATATAAAGTAGGTCTTAAATGGGGCATAGGTCTCTGCTTTGTCTTCAAGGCTAGTTGCTCAGGGCTGCAATCTTGCAAGCAGACCCACACAGACATGCCTGTGTGCCAGGACAAAGCCCTCCAGAAGTCATCAGCACCCTGTGTGAGGGAGAAGGTAGGACTTAAAAAACAGCCCTGCTAAGTTTTTGGCCCTTACACCTGCATAGGACAGCAGAGATAAATTCTTATCTATAGGTTACCTGCAGGGAAGATGGGGAAATAATCCTTCACTGGCAATGGGGAGGATTAGATCACCAATATAAGTCCTTGTACCTTTTGTATTTTAATTCTGAAGTTCAGACTGGCTTTCAAATACAACCAGAAATACAGTTTCTGTGACTTGTCTGCTAGTGCTATAAATCTGTTATGCTGCTACAGCAGGATTAACAAGGCATAAATGCAATGCACTGACCACTCCACAGATAATATAATTTCTGCCACTCAGTTGTCATAAAAGCCTAAAACTATGCACAGCAGAGTAGTCAGAGGGCAGCTAATTTATTGTCTTGTTCTAAATCAACACTGACCTCTTAATACAGGAGTTACAAACGTAGAGATCAAACTTCCAGCATTAATGGATAAATAGAAGATGGAAAAAAACTTGCTTCTCTCCGAGGTCTAAAACAAGAGAAGACAATATCAATGTCACGGCTAATGCACAGCATTGGGCTTGCAAAGTGAATACTGTCAATTCTCTTGTTAGGAAAGCTGGGTAAACATTGACACACAGTGCATAAAATGTTAAGCAAACAAGCTTGTGTTCAGGTGATGGTAAATGCTTACACAAATCAGCTTACGTTACTCAAGAAGTGCTTTGGGGCTTTTTGGCATTTCAGAGGAAAAGCCAGACACTGCTCCAAGAACATTGTGAGATTGGAAGGAGTGGAGAGCATTTACTTATTCAGAATGAGTAGCATGATTTAGATCCTCTGTCACCTAATTCAATCCAATTTGGCACGGTTTGACAAATTCATAATTTCTTCCCATGTCTGAGATCTTTTCCCCCCTCCCTCTCATGTAGGAATAGAAAAAGAAACCTGTGTATTTTGAGGAGCTGCAATGACAGCATAGATGAGAGAGTGCCTGCAAATGAGAGATATCCATCAGGTGGGAGATTATCAAGCTGATGCCGGTCAACCTCAAAATAATATGATAAACTAAATCTACAGGAGCAAATTCAAGAGCCTCATGGAGGTATGAACTCCAAGAGAAAGAGTTCAGAATTTAACTGATATCGTAACATATTCTAGTTCATACAGTCAAAGGACTCTTGATCTGCTTTCTTCCTGCGTAATTCATAATATGGAAGGAATCAAGAACTTGATGCAGAGTTTGGTCGTTTTTGCAGGAGTAATGTGTGAGGGCATTCAACTGAGAGCAGTCTCTCCTTGCTTGTGGGGGAGATAAGCATGCACAGTCACATTCACATACACAGTGCTAAACCTCCTCCCTGTGCCTGGATGGGCCAGCAGAAAGGAGATAGAACAGGCTACCTGATCTATCCCATGCTCATCTGTATCACCAGCTATGGGACACTTGAGTTGGTAAAAACAGCACTTAAGGACAGCTCAAACCCAGTCAGCCAGTATACTCCATAAGTATCTAGGCTTCCCTCCCAGCTGTCTCCAGGTGTTGTAAAAGGTAGCGGAAAATTGCTTGGGGCATGGCTTGGTTTCGGGCACAGAGCTCCTTAGGGCAACTTGAGCCGCATCTCTATGACCTGAGCATCATTAGAATATGAAACTTCAGGATAGCAGAGTGTGAGGAAGATCCTCAAGGGCATGTTTCTGTCCCATCTCCTTCTAATATGTTCTGCTTCCTTCTGCTCCCTGAGACAATAATATTCACAAGGCTAGAAAACAGGAGAAAATGTGAAGAATTGCAGGCAGCTAGAAAAGGACAGCTCTTAAGGAATGAAGCCTGGGATCCAAAAGTGTAACAAAACATTCCATAACTGATGGAGCAGCCAACAGGAAATATTGCTACTTCATATGGCAAGAAGCCTCTTAGCACAGGGGATCACTGCAGACAAGGTGGGCAGGTGAGAGGGCTTTGGGGGGATTTATATTGCCTTGTGAAGTGGGTACTGGGAAGGTGAGAGTGAGAGACCCGTCACTTCCCACTGCCACCCACCAAGGAGTCTGAGGGTCCCCTCACTTAGATTAAGGGCTTTTTGCCGTGCCTGGTTATGAAGACTCCATCAACTTGAACTTTTGCCTTTTGCAGTTTTATTGCCTAGCATGTCCCGAGCAACCTAACCCTTTCATTACTCAAATGATTTATCCCAGATTAAAGGATTTGGAAGCCTTATAATAATCATCTCTATGGAATGTTCCTATAGTTAACAGCAAACAGCACTGGGTCTTACTGTCTTTTATGCTCCATTTCAATGCTTTTGTTTTACCTAAAGCTTTCTACTGCTAAGCTAGTAAAAGTGTATTTCCTTCTTCATTCTACCTTTGTGATAAGGTACTTGTCATCATAAGGAAATCTAGAGAAATGAACAGCCTCAGCAAATCTCTCCCACTCCCAAGTAGTCCTGCTGTGGTTTGACATGGGTAGTGCAATAGAGTCCTCAAAGTCCTGCCCTCTTCTAGTCAAATTCTCTAGATTGTAGCAATGCCTATTGTTAACCCTTTGTATCTGAACAACTCAGAATTTCTGAGACCTGAGAAAAACTCAAGCATGCAGATCTCAACATAAAGTCTAGAGCAATAATTACCCAAAATAATGTGCTGATAAGAGAAAAGCGAAGTGATACAAAAAGAATTTGGAGCATCTTATTTCACATGTTTTTAGATTTAAGTGATGGACAAAAGAAATGGTCAGAGAAAATCAGAAGTGAGTACAAAAACTATGATCCAGCAGCTTGTAAATTACTCTGATTGGAAAAAAAAAAAAAAACAAGGAATAAAGAGACAAAGAGAAAGCTATTTAGTACCTTAAACACCATATCACACTGCCTGAAAGCAGCTTTGGTCCTTAATTAATATGCACAGCAGCCTTCTAAGTCATATAACATATTGTAAATATCGTTTTGTTCAGGCACTTTTAGCTTGAATTCCTAATCCCACAGACAAAGATGCTTGGAAATCTCCCACAGATAAACCTACTTTCCCTATCTGACCTCCTACTGAATCAGTCTCCATCACTGTTTGTTGTAGTACTGTTCTCAAAGTGGCAGATCCAAGACTATTAGAATCCTAAAGTACTTAGAAGAAAAATGGACCAATGGTGTGCATTTGCCTCAAACATAAATTTGTCTCTACATGGGAATAGCAGAGGCAATTTTTTTATTCGTTTTATATACAGAACTACCACATCTCTCGTTTCCAGATGGCACAACTAAGCCTGTACACTTAAGGGCTCAGCTGAGTTTTATTGGTGTCCTGAAAACTAGGGGGGAAATCAAATGCTTCATTTCATTGGGAATTTACAAAACTTATTTCATCCTACTGGAGTGGAAGATGAAAAACACCACTCTGGAGGGGAGAAATAGTCTGGTTAGGCCCAAAGCTTTCATTCCTTACATGATCAAGATTTTTTATTCCAATTTTGAAGAATTAAATTTCCTATCACATAGCATAAACCATTTTTTTTCTGAAAGACCAAGTCATTTCAAAATGGTAAAATACAAGACTTTCTATTGAAAAGAATCAATGCAGCAGAATGCATTGCCCTTATCAGAAGGCTTTTTACAGTTTTCTTTCTCCAAATTTTTTTTTTTTCTTGAAGGCAATATGCAGGTGAATGTTTGAGCCTTAGTATTTGATAAATTTGATAGAGACGTGTAGTCTGAATGCTGGAGAATGGCTACAGGCCCACACAAACACAGGGAATTCAGGTTTTGCTCTGTAACTCAGTTGTTTGGGATAATAATATGTATATGCCTGACTGGGGTGCTGAGATTCATTAACTGAAGTCTATAAAACACTCTGAAGATAAGTGGTACATATTATCATACTGTAATTAGGTTGTAATTGAAAGATGCTGGATAAACATTACTAATCATTAATATTCATAGAAGCAGCACTTCTGAAAATGCTGCTGCAACACCTATTAGAATCCTTTTGGGACAACTACTGGTACTGCAGGCTGGGATGCCCACATACATGCTAGTGTCCACACTGTGTATTCCCAGAGCACGTGTGCTGTACTGCCAGCCTGCTTTTGGTCAGATTTGTGCCAACTGAGGAGGCTGGCAACCACCAGATGATTGCTACTCCCTCTTTTCTTCCCTCTAAAGCACTGGGTCCAACACAGGATGGACATGCCTGCAGATGGATCTTTGAACAAGTGACTATGAAATATCCTGTGTTTTGCTACTCCTTCGTAACCACGAACCAGCAGTTCACGAGCAGAAAGCAAAAATCTTCCCCAAATTATAAAATAAAGACTCCAGTCTATATTATTTATTCATTAAATGCTGACTATGTGCTTGGGCACTGCAAAAGAGAAACAGCAAACTGCCCTACAGGGTTCTCATCCTTTGTCCAAGACCAAGGGACCATCCTTTGTCCAGTTCTACCAGTGCCTTTCTTGACAGACCATTAGTCTAATGTCCTTCTTCCATGCCTCCACTGATAGGAACTGCCATCTCTCATAAGTCCTAATCTTTTCCAGTACTTCTCTAGATATATTTCTGGAAAGCTTTTCCTACTGTCAGTCCTATATAGTGCTCCTTGAATTTAAGCCTACTTATCACAGACCCCAATGTTTACTTTCTTTCTTTTAGCAGTGGCCTTCCACATATTTGAGGATTTATGCCATGCACAGAAGTTGCTGATTTGAATACTATCAATCATTGAGAAAACAGAATTTTTTTATTTGTGTGTTAGGTCAACATAAATCTAAGTGGTTTATTTCAGGTCAGTTTGAAAATTTAGCATTTTGCCCAAGGATTAGCATTTCCTGACCCACTTAATATCTTTAAGCTCTATTTTATCCCTGGTTGAGCCCCTGTGCTGCATATAATGGGAGTTTGAGATTAGCACAGGTGAGGGGCTAAGAGCTCAGGGTAGAGAATGTGGAGGCAAAGCAACTGGACTACAATTCACAGATGCAGAGCACAAACAAAGCTGAAAAGAAACGTTTTCCCAACTGTTCAGAACTTTCCATTCTGGAATATTTGAAAACATTCTGGGTAGATCTAGTACCAGCACTCCTTTCAAAAGACTGGAATTTCCTACAGATCTTTCTGAACAATATTTAAGACACAGACTATGTCTGATTTGAGGAAGAATTCCCAAGGAAGCATAGGCTGGTGATACAATTTTTACTTTCATTTGCTGTATTCTGTTGCAGTGCATTATAGTCACCCTTGTTAACCTGGCTCAAAAATGGCTACAGTTCTGTGATACATTATATGGAATTTTCCAACTACTCTTGACGTCCAATTAACATTTAGATGATTTGATGCAGTTATGACCTATCCTTCCCAATATCAGTCCTGTTGTGCTGTCATTTTCCCTTCCTAAAGCATCCAGATTCTCTCAAGTCTTATGCAAACTACCCTACCTAACATCTTACTACAGATTTTCCTAACAAACTGGCCTCTATCCTAGGACAACAGGATTTGATCACGTAAACATCCTCACGAAGTAAGCAGACACTGAAGATTTTAGGAAAGAAAAGAAATCTTACATGTTCTTCTTCAAACTGGTCCCCACCAAATGCAGAGACACATGGCTTGATTCCTCCCGTTCCAAGGGCGATCAAAAACAGACCAACCATAGATAGGATCCTTCATGTAAGAACAAAAATATCATCATTGCAGAACCTTTCCAGTGATTATGAGAGCATTTTAGTGTCACCCAACCATGGTTGCCTTAGTATCATTTCCTTTTATGCATGTGTAGTGATGAGCCAGCTAAGTGCAAACCAATCAAATTAATTATCCTCATTTCTGCATTCAGTACAAGTCAATTAACCAAACTGGTTTTGTCAGTTTCTTGCTGTTCTGAGGCCCAATGGACATACTAAAGATCAAAGATCCGTGGGTTTATTTTTCACTCACACAAGAACAAAAGATTGCAGAGATCAATTGAGGGGAAAAAAAAAAAAAAAAAGTACAAAGCCTTTTCCTGTAGCTTTCCAGCCTGGGTAAGTGCAGACAAACTGAATTAGGATCATTCTTGGGCGTTTTCTACTTCTCACTGCTCCTCAAAATACCATTGTTGGCCAAACAGATTACATCTGTAGGGAAGAGGAGTGTCAGGACTGAACGAGTCTGGAACAAAAGGACACTGTTCTGGTAATCAGATGTGCTCCTGCCTGCACTTGCGTATTTTTAGAGCTATGACCACCTAGGCAAAACAAGATTGGTGGTTTCAGAATGTCAGAGGGGGAGCTACTCTGACAAGCCTATCAGTTCAGAATCTAGAGGGCAAGAAGGATTGTACCCTATGGAAGACACAGACCCTTCCTCTGTCACATCAGAAAACGTATCTTTGGTTTTGTGTTCTCATTCACACAGGAGTCATTGCTGAGCTGGGCAGCTATGCTGATGAAGAAATGAGAGAGGAATGAGTTTGGTGCAGGCAGCTGGATGGAGGGGACCGAACTCCAGGAGCATGGTTTATCAAAGTGCGGTGATCAGAGGTGCCTGTATCAAAGCACTTAGAGTCTGTGGTGGTTTCCAACTCATCCTGGTGCATTCACACTCTAGATCCACCCCCAGACATCACAAACCCTTCCCTGATTAAAACAAGCCATGCACAGCCCCCAGACTGCTGGCCCAATGGAGGTGAAACAAATTACAGTCCTGAGTAAAGAAGCTACCATCACAACCTCCTGCAGCTCAACAGTTACTTACACATGAACCACTTGGTTGCCTAGGGATGGAATTGCACCAACTGACTTTATCAGATGGCCAACAACATACACAACAGAGAGGTAGATGATCGTCCTGTGGGGAAAGGAAACAGCAATGACTGAAGTTGCTGGGTGATGTGCAATTCAAGAACAGTGCCTGTGCTTCCTAACATGGCAGGTCTACTTGGCAGACACACAAGAAACAGGTTTTTCATACTACTGGTATAGCGGGCAGCTATAACTTTTGTGTCAACACTGAGTGCACTAGAAAAAACAGACAGGCAAACTGGTTCAGATTAAGGAGGGATACCCCCTGCTTTCTTTGCATAGGTTAATCGGCAGAATAAACTAAAAACATTCCGGTCTTGTTGTACATGGAAGGCTGCAAATCACAGAATGGTTTGGGTTGGAAAGGACTTTAAAGATCACCTAGTTCCAACCCCCTGCCAGGGGCAGGGACACCTTCCACCAGACCAGGTTGATCAAAGCCCCATCTAACCTGACCTTGAACACCTCAACACAGTTTCCAGATTACTAATAACTGGCATTGCAATGGGCACCTAAGGGAATCCCTTGTCTGGAAGGCATCTGGAGGGACTGTCGCCCACATTCAACCCACCTGACTAACATCTCAACTAGGAGCCTGGTTTCCCCATTACAAGTTTGTTTTAGATCCCAAGTACCTCTAAAGGACTGAGCACATCTCCCTGCCTCCCATGTCTTGTTGAAGGAGAAACAGAAATCTCACTGGGAGGATCAGGCTCTTGGAAGTATTCTATTCCTTCATCAGTTTCAGGATTAAGAGCTATCTACATATTTACATGCAGATGACATACACAAGGGGAATGGATGGACTTGTCTGGACAGAGGCACTAGAAGTGGTCCTATGAGCTTTGAGCCCAGAAGTCATCCTCAGCACATCCAAACCCTGGTTCCACAGCTAATTTAGAGCCACATCAGATCATTCCTAAAAGCATCTCTAATCTGTTACTCTGTCCCCAATACTGGCTGAGGTCCAACTAATACAGTAAAAGCCACCTCCCATTAAGTCACAGTGATTATTCCAGAGAAAGTCTTGCCTAACACACAGAAGCCTGCAAAAGGATTTCTCTTCTCACAACATTATGCCGCAAGATTGACATCCTCAAATACCAATTAACATTGCTAGGTGACCTTAAGTAAAAAAGTTAGTAAACCCCCACTCTTATTTTGGGGCGATTTTTTTTTTTTTTTTCATTCGAAGGGACAAGAGAATCACTAAAATTGAGCACAAAGAAAAAAGAATATTGATATCTCCTTAAGAACTTCCTGCTGGAAAGGCATATGGCAGTTGGTTTTTTTTTCCTGTTGAAACTCTTCTGCCAGATGTACTTAGTCCTTGAGAGAAGGGTTCAGCTGCACTTCATCACTCTGACAGCCAAGACTCCTCAGACAATAAACAAGCAGTGCCAAGCAAAGAAAGTCCTATATCCACCTGCTCACCACCACTCTGGGGCAGAAGATGGCCCCACAAATTATCAGTGGAAAGGAAGAATGCCTAACTTACCCAGGGAGAGTTTACCTGGTTATGTGCAAAGAGAGATTATTTGAGTGAAACCAGGTTTCTCTGGCATGAAAATGGGTGTGCTCACACATTTCCTATGCTGTGAAAGCATAAGTATAGTATAGGTAGTGACATTTCATCTGAAACTGTGAGATCTACAGGATGACACTGCTTTCTCACCATCTTTGAATCCTTCTCAGAAGCAGATCTTTGCAAGCTGTAGGTTAATCAACCTACACCTCAGCTTCCTCAAGATGGGTAGGGAAGGACAGTGGAGAAGCATGCCTGTGACATTTGTTTTAATTTTGTTACCTATTGGTCCTTGGGTGAAAGAGGACCACAAAACAGCATGAGCAAACAGATCAGCTGTTTATCTGTTAAGAAAGGAGCTGACCTTCGCAAGCGTGTCTCTGCTGCACTCTGAGCTAGCTCAAAATTGGGAGCACACACAGCACTGCCCTACACACAGGCTGCATGGTGTAGATGTATGCTGTATGAATTACAGAGGTGTTTTCACTTACTTGTATTTCCCCAGCCACGAGTCTGCCATAATGGCTCCAATGACAGGTGTGAAATAGCATAGCGCAGAAAAGGCATGGTAGACAGCAGTGGAGAGATTCTCATCCCAGTGGAAGAAGCTTAAGAAATATAGTGTCAGGACAGCTAAAAGGAAGCAAGCAAATCACATTAGGTAATTAATGTGTATCTCTTGCAGCTAAGCAGTACCATGGTGGCAAGAAAACCACTATGAGCACTGTTGTGAAAAGGTCTGTGCTTTCAAGACCTGTTCCTCGTAATCTCTGACACAGGAAAAGCTAAACTGAGATATATGAGTATTAGGCATTCTTTGCTCCTAAACATTCGTGTTTAGCTGGAAAATGTTTTTTTCTAGCTTATCTTACCATAACCTGTAGTTCTGTTTATGCTCATTTTCTACTTGAAAATTAGGTGCCTGTACAACTCAATTCCCAAACATGCTGGTTGCACACAACTGTGAAGAATATCACACTCTGAAAGACCAGATCTGATACAGACAATCATATAAAAAGTTTGATTGGAAGGTACACTTGAAGCTCTCTAGTCTGAAATTCTGCTCACAGAAGGTGTAGCATCAATGTTAGGGTACACTATTCATACCAGAATCCCAAAATGCCAATTTACTTTGAAAGACAGCTGAGACCATATGCAACACAGCCGTGGAACACCAGACAAATGTGTGCTGAAACCCAAGGACAGGAAAGACACTTCCCAGACACAGGCCCTCTACCTCTCATGCCATAGTAGGAGAAGCGCTCGCAGAACTCATTCACCACGATGAAGGCAATGCTTAGGGGGTAGTTGGAGCCACAGAGTTTCTGCAGGAGACAAACAAGAACATATCAGCTCTATGAAAGCCTTCACCCCAGCAATATGTCTCCATGGTGCCTGGACAGAGAAGCGTCCAGCCCAGAAACCAGGTGCCCACTGCTGTGCCACTGATCTGTGGGTTAGACTTGAAGAACAGAGGGGACCCCACAACTACCTCACTTTGATTAAGGTTCCCCAGTGAATCAGCCTGCCCAGCATGGGCCCAGTAAGGACCACCATGCAGATTCATGGGTTGTCAGCAGCCTACCATGCTCATAGCTCCAGGAACTCCAGCGGAAGTGGGTCCTACCACCCCTCCTGCAACGCAAAAACCCACTGAAGTGCAAAAACACCTTCAGATGCCTTTTCTCCTACACTTCACATAAAGCTACTTCCTCACCTCAAAACTGCTCCCTCTCCTAGTACCAGACCTTGCTGCAGCAGTTAGTAGACCACTCCAGGTAGCTGTTGTCTGCTTTTGTGTGAAGCTGCTCCCTCCCATGCGACAACTGCCCTCAGTCTCTGCACCTTACTTGCACTGAACTGTGCCATTGTGTTCACTGAAGCAGAGTGTCAGCCCTGCATCCTGCACTCCTTCAAGCATGGCATCCATTTCATATTCCAAGAACGCTGACATAGCTATGGATAATTCAATTTATTAACCAAAACTAAACAAAACAGTGATGGGACTGTCAAACCTGCCTGAGCGTGGCCACTCTTTTATTGAATCTGACTTTGCTCCAGCTAAAATCAGCAGTTTCCAAGTGAAATACAAGGCATTTAAAAAGATGCGTCTTGGCATGACCTTGCACGGGCCTCTGTCCCTCTTGCTACCCCACTGCGGTCCAAGCTAAGCAGCTTCCAGCTGCTTTGCTCCACTGCCTCGCAACAGGGAAAGCAAGTTTTCACAGCACTGCCCAGCCTCTGCCAATTAGTGGGCTGGCTGTGCACTTGGTGAAGGATGGGGGGGAATGTGATATTAACTGCTGCATTCATATTCATGGTTTTAAACAGCCATGGTACGGCCCAGCAAAGCGAGATGAACTTTTCACATGTATTTCTGTGCCTCATGTCGGAAATAACAAATTCCGGTATTTCTTCCCACAGTCCCAAGTGCAAATACAGATACAAAAATAGATGTGTTTATTCAGGTTTATTTCACCACCAAGAGACCTGAGCTTATTTGGATTCCCAAAGCAATGGCATGAAGTTTAGAAGAGTCTAGCTTAATGATTCTGTCTTGGTCAACATTATACAGGAGCAACAAAACAAAAGAGAAAAGACTGGTTGTCCACAAAAAAAACCCCAAAACCACTTTCCATTACTTAACCCAGCATCTCTGAAGAGAAACATTTTTGTCCTTTTTTATATATTTTTTCTCACGCTATTTATGGGCAGTTTTTTATTAAGAAATCCTTGGCCTCTCTGCTATACTATAATAAACGTGTAATTATCCATTTCATTTATTATTTACTCTGAAACCATCATGCTCGACATATGGTTTGTAAGACAGAGTGGGCTGCCTTGGAAACTGCACTGAGGCCTCCTGCTTTAGACTAGGCTAAAAATGGCGGCATATATAAGCTGTAGATGCACAAATACAGAGACATATGCACACAGAGAATAGGTTTCTACAAGTTTTTCATAATAAAGAAGAAAATCTATAAGATACAATTTATGTTCCCTGCTTGGAGACATTTTCTCAACTTGGAAGTAAAACTGTGTAACAGGGATAATTTTCTTTCCCTCTTTCACAGACCTCGCTATCAGCACTCAGATTTAATAACATTTGATAGAGATGCAAAGCATGACGGCTCAGACCCAGATGACACCCTGGTAAGGTGTTGGGAGCCCTACTGTCTGAATTCACCCCTCTGCACTGATGCACCAGAGCTGCTGGATTTAGCTGTGCTGGTTCAAGGTAGCACAAGCTACGCTGTGACCTGCGGTGGCAGAAAGCCTAGCAGTGACTCATTTCAGCCACTCCTGCTCTGGAACGGGCAGGGGCAAGCAGGGAAAGGAGAGCTGGAGGTTGTGACTTCCCAGCTAAAACTCCCCAAGGGCTTGAGAAAGGGCCCTAAGTGATCACGAACACAGAGCAGTGACTTACAAGCAGGGGTACTTCCATCTGGCTTGTGTGTCATCAGATGGCATTAGCACACGCAGAAACCCTCACGTATTCTCTCCACTGTATCACTGACCTGTCTGTGGCCTGCCTGGACATCCAAAAGTGGGCAGCTTTCATCCATGCAGAGAGCCAGATGCAGCTTGCTCGCTTTCGCGGAGGAGGACCTTGCTCAGCAGAGGGCCCCAGCAAAAGCAAAGAGGCTAAGCCTGGATTCATGAGCACACAGATAGTCTGCTCTGCTTAGCTACCAGTGTAAGCCTGGGATCTGTGGATCTGCAGGATTATGGAGCTCTTAAAGATACTGTGGAAGTTGATAGTCTGTGTCTTTGGAAAAAAGAAAGGTCATTTAAAGTGCCAGCTACAGGAGATGTTTGTTTTCATCTCTCCTTGCTGACTAGCTGCAAAATGGGACAAAGATTAATATTTCCCAGGAGCTCTGGATATTTAATAGTTAATATCTGCACAGTACTTAAAATTGCAAATTAAATAGTTGGCTTGCTAACGACATGACTGTGAGCTTTAAGAACAAGTATTACTATATTGTCCTGCAAGTCAAAGCAGGTGCAATACAATCCCTGTTCTCCCTGAAGTCAATACAGTGTACAGTTCTTAGGGGTCAAGCACTCAACCAAAATTAGCCTGAACACATGCACAAACATCAAAGCTGCAAGGCAACAAAATATTCACCTGAATATGGCTTTAAATCAGAGCCGAAGATGTAAACCTGCGGCTCTGTCACTACAGTTGGACTCTGTAACACACATCAGTGGCCTGTCCTCAACCCCTGTCTTTTCTTCTGCTTTGCAGCGTCGGGGTACCCTTCCCTGATGGGTTTCATCAAGTGAAGCAAATGCACAGATCAACTCCCTCCCTCCCACATCCAACATCCCCCTCCACTTCAGAGAAGTACGTCCTTTCCCACAAGGAAAGCAGCGTTCAGGGAAAAAAGCAGCAATCAAAACCCTTACACTTTTCGCCAAACATTCAGACAGTTTGTCTTTCCCTTTAAGCTGCACTTCCTAAACTTAATCAGGTTAGTAGAGGGATTTTGCCTTGAGTTGTTAATGCTATTTCAACCCTCTGCAAGAAAGGGTGTTTGTCTCTAGCCCGAGCATAACAGAGGAAAGAACAGAGAGATCTTGCAATGTTTAGAGCAAGCTGAGCAGAAAGCAAAGGAAACCAGCTGTAACACTCACCGGGGATTTCTTCTGAACAGGGAAATCTCCTTTGGGGGGATCATCTCCTGCAGAAATAAAAGTGAACAAAGTTTCCTTGGATTCATTTCTCTGAAAAGCATTCATCTCCCCTCTCGCCTTGTCTCCCACCATGCTATGTGGCTGTGGTGAGTTGACTGGGAAGATTTCCAACCTCAGGCATGAAGTTTGATTCAGTTTGAGTTAACCCTAATTGAGCACATTTGTGCAGCCAGGACTGAAAGAGGAGGGAGATGCTACCAGGAAAGGCAACTCCAGAGTTCAAGAAGAGTCAGGGAACATAGCCAAAATCATTCACAGGTTGGGGCTGTCAGCACTTAGTGACACAGACCTCCCTTTCATTTGGCATGCCCCCAGCTATCATACATGCACCAGCCCAGCACTGTACGCTGAACAGATGTTAGCTGAATAAAAATCCCAGGTCCCAGATACACCCACCGCCTGTGGATTTAGGAGCAGAGCATGCTTCTCCCTCCCAATGCGGTAATGACAGGCTTATTCTGCAGGGATCTCATTCTACTGAAAAGCCACACATTCATCCCAGGTCATAACAACCAAAATGCTCATCACACCAAGCCCTCAGACACTGGATGTCACGGACACATGCACTGTGTTAAATAATTTCTTTGCTATCCCAGGAGTTAAGTGACCCAGGATTCATTCCTGCATCAATTCCCTAGAATAATCTTGCCTTTTCTGCTGGGACAGTTTAATATGCAGGGCACAGGCAGAAAAGAGGCCTTTGCTCACACCACAGATCCTTAATCGGGCTTCAGTTATTGCTAACAAGACATGGAGAACACTTGGATGTGACAGAGCACACAGAGGAAGCATAATTACTCTCCGCATTCCCTCATGTGCTCTGGCATTAATTCCTCTGAAAATTCCTAAGGATCCTGTTTCACTCCTGCTAACTGTACAGCTAAGCATGGGACCAGCTGGGCAGCTAAACATAAAACCCAAAGTTCAGATGAGGTCAGGAAGGTCTGACTATTTTTTATTTCCTCTTCATTCTACAGCAGTGGCAAAGCAGCAGTTTGGTACCTTTCCCATAATGCAACAGCCCAGCTCCTCATCTTCAGCCTTCCCAGTGATTTGCACACCTGCACAGCCTTGCTTTTCACCTGGGTCACTTCTCAGGTGCCACAAACAGTCTCCAGGGAGCCAGGGTTTGTTAAGCCCATTTCACAGGGCAGAGTGACTCACAAGTATACTCAACATTGCAGGCAGGATAAAGAAGAGAACTTGTGCATGTTAGTCCTGCATCGTACACACCGGCTTAACACGTACTCTTGCGTCTTGCAAGTCTGACCCTTTGCTAGAGGCAGCAGGAAACATTCTTAGCTTTTTGGTGG